GCAAATTCACCACCACATCCAATCACCCAGTGCAGCCAGAGCAATGTCCTGGCTCCCAACACCCAAAGTCCTCCAAAGCCCAAACCAGGTGCCCTTGAGGTGGCTGAAAGGGAATGGGGAATAAAAGAATTTTATCTTGCTTAAACACAGAGCTCAACAAAAGCAAGAGAGAAGGTCACGAGATAGGGACAGAAGCGGAAATTTGAAACAACAGGGGGCTGTGTTTGACACCAGTAGAGAGGTACAAGCAAGTTTTCCTCCTGATGGAAAAGACTCCAATGCTATCTCTAAAGGAGGCCATTTCTCCTCAGTTAAAGCTCTGAAATAAATATGCTTTAAGGAAGGAAGCTGGAAATTCCCTTCCCAACTCCTTCCTTCTTATTTTCTTCCTTCTGTGAGAGGGGAGGTTTTTTCCATCTGACCTTCCCTGGACATGGTCTGCCTGCCATGTGATTGACCCAGGAGCATTCCCTTTCCCACAGACTTGAACATGCATTGCATTTCCACGTCCTGGGGACAGTGAAAAGTTCAATTGAGGATTGCTCTGTTTAGCTGTGCTGGGGGGCTCATAATCCCAGTGGGTAAAAATGTTTAGAGTTAAAGAGGTTACAGGCTTTTCTGAGGCAGTGTTTAAATTCCAGCTGTCAAACCATTTGCATCGAAGAAATTTGTAGCCAGCAGTACACTCAATTGCTGTATTCTTGTCATTAATCTGGTAATATGCATTGTTTTCCCATTGCCATAAGACAGTAATTAATCTGTGGCAATTTTATGCCTATAAAATGATAAATAGTAGGCCTAAAAATAAATGACAGTGAAGAAATTTGAGGGGACACGCATTGATGAGAGCCTCATCAAGAAGGCTCTTGGCAAAGCCCTTGGAATGCCTTCAGGGTTTCATCTTTTTCCCCATCTTTCTCAAGAGTTTGATCCAGACTTTTCAGGGCCTGATCTTTTCAGAAACCCATCTCAGGGACTTGCAATCTGCCTCATATTCAGTTTAACTGTGCACAAAAAAAAAATCCACTTGCAGACTTTGCACATTAAAAAGAGGATTAAAAAAAAATTAGAGCTTTTTCTCAGGGTCTATAAAATGAGCATGAAAATGAGGAAGTTTGGTGTTGCAATTTCCTGGGAAGCCTCAGCCTCACTCCCTGTCACTACTGTTCTGTACTTTGGTCTGTAACACAGATGCAGATCTGATAAATCACAGGCGTCACAGACTGTTTTCTTTCCCCTTGCAGGAGAAAAAGCAGTGCAGGAACAAAGGTGACATCTGCTGCCAGGCTGAGATCACCTTCTTGGTGCTGCTTTGAAGAAGGTGAACCTGCTGCAGTGTTTGATATGGCAGAGGCACCAGCCAGGCTGTGGCTGGGCCAAGGCCATGTCTAGGACATGATAAGCACTTCTGAAATGCTTATCACTGAACCTCCCCAGCCAAGAGGGCTTTCCTGCTTCCCTCCTTTGTGAGAAAGGGTTTTCTGTTGACTCAGTGTAGGTTCACTAATGGGAAGGATGAAAGTTTAACAATAAAGTCTCAGAGATATGGGTGCTTGGCAGAAAGATTTTTGAATGTAGAATCTGAAGAAGGAATAGAAATGAAAGCTTGATATAGTTTGATATAGAAGTTTTGATGTAGAAGAAAAGAATTGCTGAGCCAGTCTTACTGGCTAACCAAGGAGGCAAAGGGTGTGTTAGTTAGAAGGGGTTTTTATGACTTAGAATAAACCCACCCCAAACAAGAAGATGTTTTTACCAAGCAGAAAGCACAGGCAAACAAGTCAGCAAAGTTGCAAGTAGAAAAAAGGTCTCAGAATTTTCCACTGCAAGAAAACCGAAAAACAACTTCTAGCTTAAACTGCAATGTACTGACTTTTAGTGATTGGAGAATAGTAACATGAATATGGCAATTACAGGAGTTATGATAGGCTATAGGTAATAGTTAAGGTATAGATTGGTTCTGCTGCATTAAGATGCTCAGCAAAGAAAAGTATATAATGCATTGTAATCAAAAGAAAAGTCTATAATGCAATGTAACCAAAACCAAAGGGTCTCCAGGCCTGCCTGCAGCTGGAGCTGACAGCTGTGGGCACAGCTCTGTCACCCACCACCCTGGACTGCTGTAACCTCTTGGATACAATAAACTGCATTTTGTAAACAATAAACTGCATTTGGAAGAGTTGTCTGGAGTCCCACATCCCTCATTTCTTACTGTTCACTATAAAGAAACAGAGAATGAGGCTGGTGTTGGAGGATGGTGGATAATCCTTAATGGAGCAAGTTCTTCTGTGAACAAAGGCAAGATGAGGCTCAGGTCCCTCCAGGCTCTACTCTGCTGTAACCACAGGCAAAACTCTCCTCTGCAAAACATTTCACAGCCCCAGAAATACTTAAATTGTCGTTTTCTCACCTCCATCCAACCCTTTCTTCTTCCTCCTGCTTCTCCCTAAGCAGCTCCCATGTCCTCACCTGACCTTTCCTTACCTTCCCCCCGAGCCCCCAGTTTTTCTGGTGGCCCAGAAAGGCAGGGGACAGCTGGAGCTTGGCTGGGTTCTGCAAGAGCCCAACAGGGTGAGCAGCAGCCACATCTCCCTGTGCTGAGGGGAGATTTGTCCCCTGCCACTGTGACCGCTGCCCTTCAGCAAAAAGGGATGGAATTGGGACTGAAAGGTCACTATGGACAGGGAACAGCCCCCAAGACAACTTTTAAGTCTGTCTCTGTCTCACTTAGAATATTAAATGTGTGTGAAACAGCTCAAAAAAAAAAAATGATGGCAGCCTTTACTACAAGCAGATTTCTCAAGCAGATATTTGGGAACATTGGGGGGAAAGAATGAGGTGGTTAGTTTGGGGTTTCCAGGTTTTGATGCTGGAAGAGGAACAACAGACAGGCTTTTGGTATGAAGGAGCACAATAGTGTTAACCTTAGTACCTGTTTTTTCCTTGTTTTTCTCTAACTACTAAATGAATTAGATCTACTCCTAGGACCTTCATCTATCATTTAAAATAAAAATATTTATGAGGGTGATAAACAACCAACCCTGATGTCTCCCATCAGGTAGGACTGGCGAAAAGAGAAGAGGGAATAGAAAAATCACAGAGCCCCAGAAGAGCTGAGACTGCAAAGGACTCCTGGAAGAACTCCAAAGTGACTAAATATTACAGACAGGACAGAACACAACATAAACACTCGTCTGTATTGTGCTTAATACTGTTAGTTCCTAAAAGCACAGTGGTGTGTGCAATTCTTTCTGCTCTGTTGTTTATTTTGGTGACCAGGCTGGGGGTGATGTGATTATTGCAGGAGTGAGAAGGGTTGAAGGACCCTCCTTTAACACCAAGTGCAAGGTGAGCAGCACACTGGTCAGCTCTGGTGTGTGTTTTGCAGGGACTGGCAAAGCCAGAGAAGTCTGACAGCTATTGAGGGGAGCCCCAGGATCTCTTCATTATCAGCAGCTTCCAGGCTGAGCCTTTGTGTGCCTCTTGTAACCCCCTTCCCACCCACACACATTCCTTTCCAGCAATGCTGCTTTATTTGGCTTGTCATTATCTTCTTGTTAAATCCACTTAATTGGTGCATTTAACTCTTTGTGCTCCTTAATAGATCCTCTGATGTCACTTGTTTACTGAAATAAAAAACCTCATAGCCTTAAGTATTAATTTCAGAACAACATCTGAAGTGAGACAGATCTTGCCAGTCCCAGTAATTCCCATTTACCCCATGAGACTGGAGGCAAGCTGGACTTGATGAGCTGTGAACCCATCCAAGTCAAATTCTGCACACAGCCAGGGTATTTCCAGAAATCCAAAATCTCCTTTTCCACAAGCTCCTTTAGGACAGCAAATCTGCATCCCCTGCTATGGACTATAGAGCTTTCAGTGCCTCTGTTGCAGACTGGAAGGGTTCCTCTCCCTGCTGCCCAAAGGTGATTAGTGCAGTCCCCATGTGCTCTGTACCTGCTCTGAATTGCCACAGCCAGATCTACCAAGAGTCTAAGGAAGAAAATCACAACTGTAAGTGATGCCAGCAAAACCCCTTATGCCAATATGTCAGGAAATTTTAAAAAATTAAATGTTCCTCTGGCAATTTGGTTTTATCCGGGGAATTGCTGCAAGCTTTACACACATAAAAGTGCCCCAACAATATGGCACCATCAGCTGCACCTACATTGGCAACTCCATCAGTGCAACCCACCCCAAAGTCCCTGCAGCCACTGCCCAAGGCAGCACACAGCTCTGGTGTGCAGTGGAGGCTCTCTCCTTCTCAGTGAGTGTTTCTGTTGAAGGATTGGGGATGGGGAGGTTGCCCTTGAAGGCTTTGTTCCACAAAAATTGTTTTGCTACTGAAAATGTGCTTGTAGACCAAGCTGGCACAGCCCTCTGCGCTGGGGGTGCAGCACCTAAAGCTGGGCACCTTCATGCCAGGGCATCAGCCAAGGTGCAAAGGGCTGGGGCAGAAAAAGCAGGAATGTGCAAGGATCCAACTCCCACACATCCTCTGCTGGGGCTTCTGCTGCTCAGGGCACGGCACTACTCACTGTGAGTAGAGACAGTACCCAAAATAAAGGTATTGCTTTATTCTCAAAACTCCTGGAGGAAGAGTAAAACCCCTCTAAATGTTTGGGAGGGAAATCAGGGGAAAAAACAGCAAACCCCCTATAGTGCCACATGTTCTTAATCCACTTTTTTTTTTACTATTCCTGTGCCTGGTGCCACAATTTTGGGAGCAAGGAGTCTCCAGAAAGCTTTGGCAGAGAAGAGACTGCTGACTTTAGGGAGGCCCTGCACCTCTTGATGGGAACAGCATGTTTCTGACATGGCAACAACATGGGTTAAATTCCAGGCAAGTCATAGCTTTAACATGTTAACATGCTCTACCAGGGGAAAAGCTGAGGTATTTTTAGCATGGCCAGAGTATTTGTCTCGGCACTGTTCTGGCCTTTTTTGGAACTGTTAACTCTGCTCTGGAAACAAATACAATAGCCTTTGCAGCAGTGAAATACCACTTATTTTCTTTTATTGTTTGCCACAAAGAAGACTACTGAGTTGTACTTGAAAGAGATTAAAGGAGAAACATACATCAGCTGCTTTCAGCACAGCTCACTGCTTTCACAATGCCAGCCAGACTTGCTGCTTCCCTATTTCTGCCCACATCCCCTAGCCTTTCCTACTTCCATGCTTAGCTCTGACAGAATCTCAGTGGAGAATGCATTTTTCTTCATGGTGAATAATTTTTCTTCATGGTTTCATCCTGAGCTGTTGCTTGAAGGCATTGCCCCTTGCTCTCCTGTTTGACTGGGGTGAGTGCAGCAAGAGGGGTCAGCAAGACACACATTGCTCTGTCATCCTGCCCCTCACACCAACCTCCAAAACATGGCAGGGACAAGCATCTGCTGACAGATTACTTGGTTTCATCTCATTAAAAACCCACCATGCAGTGCTGGGCAGAGCCCACCGAGTGAATCAGGGATAAAGGAGGAGATGGAGTTTAAGCACAAACGAAACAACATCAACACAAGGCAAGTCTTGAGGGCTGAAAGGGAAATCATGTGGAGTAAAGGAGGGACTCTCCCCCTCTCCTATTTCCTTATCCCATTTGAAACAACATTCCCTTGCTCCTCCCCTCTGCCTGAGGCTGGCAGGAGCATGCAGCACAGCCACGAGGAGCAGCCACCTGACAGCCCCAGCCACACCTGGGCCACACATGCAGGACACCCAGGGAAACAAGAGTCTTGGAAGGATTAATGGTGAGAGAGGCTCCCGTGGCTGCAAATAGGAGACTGTGGTTGATCATCTGCTCCCACTCGATGGGACAGGAGAACAAGGCTTTTTTTATTGTCCCAGTTCTTCTCTTCCTCCTCTTCAGAGATTGCCATTACCAGTCTGGAATTACTTCTCCAGTTACTTCTCGCTGCTTCTGGAGTGGGAGAGAAGATGGGGCAAGGGGGCTGTGCTTGGAATCCCAGACTCATCTCTCAGGCAGCAGGACGAAGAAGATGGCCTTGAGGAAGTGCCCAAAACTGCAAAGAGCAGCCACGAGCCAGTGGGAGCGAAGGCTGGGGTCAGTGTTCACCACACACTTTGTGATGTCTGCCTGAAGAGGAGGGAACAGAGATTGTCAGAGACATCCTGAGACACCCCCTGGCATCTGCACCCGAAGGAGCAGCTCAGTGTCACAGCATAAAAGACTAAAGCTTGAATCAGTTATGTAGTTTGGTCTAGTACATGCTATACAGTAGTTAATAAACACTTGCTATGTGCTATATAGGCCCAAAAAATATTTTGGCAAAACACTGTGGAGGTATTAGAAGACTCCCAGCATAACTTCCATAGGTTATTGTTCAACTGCTTCAACACCTCCTATGAAGCTGCTGATAAATCTGTGACTATCCCCAGCCAAAAAGATTGAGCTTCTGCACCAAAATCTCTTGTGCTGACTCCTGAGAACTTGCATTGACTTTCCTCAGCCTTTACAGCTTCTTTGTTGGACATTTAGTGCCAGGTCAGCCCCTTCTGCAGGCTGTGCCAGCCCCTCAGCCCATGGCACCACCCCTGCTGCAGCACCAGGTGCTGGCTCTGACACTTCCACACACTCAAAGTGATTAAATCAGGCTCAAGAGCCCTGCAAAACACACTCTCCTAATTCCCCACCAGTGTCCCCCTCTTCAGCCACCCCTGGGGACAGAAATGCTACAGGAAGATTATCCAGCACTTCCCATTTTGGATAGCTAAATGCAACTTTCTTGCCCTGTTCAAAAGGTCTAGGAGCCTCAGCAGTATCAGCATTCCCATCCTTTTCTGTAAAGCCAGATGCTTCCCAGAGGTTGTCCTGGTTAATATCAGCTCAAGTCGCTTGTACATTTTCTCTTGCTTTAATGCTTTATTTGGAAGGCATTCAAGCAAACCACACCCTAGTTTAAACCTAAAGCAATGCAAGCTTTGTAGCTTTGTTTGTGGAAATGCATATGCCAGCAGGGATGCCTCCTAGATTTAAAGATCACTTGGGCAGCCAGTTTCAAGTATTAATGAGAAGTTGGCCTGCAATGATTAAAAAAATAAAAAAAAAAAAAAAAGGAAAAGAACCCCATCAAATTGATAGAAATAGGCTCTCAGCTGGCATGGGAAGGAGAAAATGGAAAATATCAAGAAGGTGAAGTGAACAGGACAGAGGTAGAGAGAAAAATGCATTTTCTGGTGCAGGAATCAAAATTAAAAGCTTTGCCCATGATATAACTGAGTTCTGCTTAAGCTCCAGCCCAGCACAAGATGTGGACTGAGGCTGTGTGACACTGTTAGCACATCAGCCCCATGTGGTTTGCAGAAACAGCTTTTGGGAACAATAATCACATCACGGGGATGGCAAACGCTCACAGCCCCAAAAGTCTTTTCTTTACAAGCTTAGCTCAGCAGCCTTCCAAATTTGCCTTCTAACATAAATCTCTCATTGACCAAGCACAGATGAGTGCGACTCTCAACCCTGAGGTGTTCCTCACCAAAACAGGGCATGAGAGATGATAATGATCTTCTTTATTCCCTCTGCCTGTGCTCAAGACATGCATAAGCCTTGCCTGACCAACCTTGGTCATCATCATCAGAAAGGAAAAAAAGGCTGAAGGGACAAATCCCAGAGTCTGGTTAGTGGGTAGAGCCACACTAACCAACCCCATCATCATCTACAGACCAAAGCTGTGCTGCCACACATTCCAGCAGCTCCTTGCTCACCAGGTCAGGAAGGCTGGCCCAGTGCAGCTCACCCCATTGCTGCTTTCCTGGGAGCACCAGCAGGAGCTGAGCTCATGAACAAGCCACAAGCAGAGACTGCAGAAGGGAGGAACACAGAGCATGCGGTGATGGGAAGGAACAGGATGGCAGGAGAGAGCTGAGTCAGCACCAAGGTGAGGAAATGCGGCTGGAAAACACAAACAGAGCAAGCAGAGCCCAGGCAGTGAGCAGAGGATGCTGCAGTGAGGTACCAGTGCTCACAGGCATTGATCTGTGTTGTGGAGGAAAGCAAGGTGGGTCTCCCTGAACACTGCCAGCACACTCACCCTATTTGCATTTGAAAATAGTCTGAACTGAACCTGTCAGATTCCAGCAGCCTGCATGGGGTCAGGTTTTAAACACTCGTGTCAAACTCTCCCTTTAGCCATGCAGGACCTGTCTGAACACACATTTTAGGGCACCTGCTCCTTGAGAAACACAAGCTCTGACGGGCTTTAGTGCCTCCTGTGAGCCAGGACAACCAACCCAACCCACTGGGCTGATTACAGCTATGAGGGGTTAACTGCCAGGTGAGGAAATGGACTCCTCAAAGCCCTGCTCTGTTCTCCCAAAGGCAATGACCTCAGTGCTCTAACCAAGAGGAGCTGCTCTCAGAAGCACTTACACATTTCTATGGGGCTTGCCCAGATAAGCAGAATTGCTCAGCTGTTTAACAATTGCCTCAGCTGTTGTTATCCAAATCAGGCCTACCTGATAAGGCAGTGCAATTGAAAACTTCAAAGCCACTTAGGGCTTTTTGCCTGGCCAGGCACTGATAAACTGTTGCAATGGCAGTTTGATATGCTATGTTAATTGTTTAAACAAATTCAAGTCACCTACACTGCTTTGTAGCAAATGCTGCTAAAAAAAATTTAAATCTTTCCATTCCACTATGAAGCCACTACTGAGGCTGCAAACTCTTCCCAGGAGGAGATGATGCCTTAAAGGTTCCTTCCTGCTCTTCCTGTGAGGTTTGCATTGGTTCTGCGCTCTTCTCCACCCTATGGAAGCAGCATGGGAACCTGCTGCTGAATGGAGAACCCCAAATGCCTTCCCAAAGTCTCCATGATGTCTTTCCTGGACCAGCTCAGGGATGGGGGTTATTTTTGGCAGCCTCAGCCTAGGCAGATGAGTAAGATATTGGGAACAAGGATGGCAAGCCAGGACAAACCCACGCAGTGGGTGAGAGGGCTCCACCAAAGAGCTGCTTGGTCTGGCCTGTGAGTGAACAAGGCTGGGAAATTCCTAGCTGCAGCGCCTACATCAAGAGAAGAACATCCATGGAGGCACAACACGAGATGGGATTAGCACCCTTTCCCCTCATTTCTAGAGGGAAAGTATTTCCTTTTCAGAGCCCAGAGCTGCTGATCAGGGTGTTGGAAATGGCTGTATCAGGACAGCCCAGCAGCTTTCACAGGCCTGTGCCTGATGAGGGACAGTGAGGTTGGCTTCCCTTCCTTGGGGCCAGATCCCAGGAGCAATCAGCATGGAGTCAGCAACCCCAACAGGAATGTGCTGTCCATCTAAAGAGGGATGGCTGGAAAAAGAGCCAGTGGTGGATTTATCTCCTGAGCTGCACAGAACCAGTGCTTGTAGCCACAGCTCTCTTCACGGAGAGCGAACAGGTACAATTTCCCAAGGGTATTTCCTGGGAATGGCAGCAAGGAACCTCAGAGAAACAGAAAACAATTCCTATCTCCATTTTCTGCTCCTGTTGTTCTTGCACATGTAAAATGTGTTAAGAAGGTTGTTTACCTCAAGGGATTTAGTAATTAGATTCTAGTAATAGTTCTTTATATTAATTAAGCAATTAGGTCAAAACTGTGTCCTAACTGTCTCAAGACAGTCACAAGTTTTTCTTTAGCATTCTTTAATATCTATTTAGTATCTCTCAAGTATTTTTAAATATCTCTTTAGTATAGTATCTCTTTAACATACTATAGTATTTATGTAATCATATAGTTTTAATAAAACAATTTTTAGTATCTCTTTAGTATAGTATCTCTTTAATATACTATATTATTAATGTAATATAGTATAGTTTTAATAAAACAATTATTCAACCTTCTGAATCAATATAATCAGACACCAATTGTTCCCTGGGTCCTCAGACCCTACATACAATAAATGCTGGTCTGGAGATGGGTTTTGCCGCTTGTTTGCTATGCAACAAATTTTTCCAAAAATATCCTTTTGGAATGATCCAAACATTCTGTTTTGAGCTCTAATGAAGCAATACAAAAATTAAAACAAGATGCTAGCTTATCAGAGCATGCAAGTTTTACCAAAACAAAATAAAAATAGCTGGAAACTAGAAAGAGATGTGTTCCTACACAATATTTCTGTTTTAATGAAACTAGATCTTAGGGGGAAAAAAGTTTCAAAGAATACATTTCAAGCAGGTATGCAGTTAAAGAAAGCCTGAAACGATACTGAGGCAGGGACTGGCATTCACAGGCAGGAACAGTGTCACTTAATTCCAGGATATCCTCTTCACCTGCCTCAGCACAAATAATTTTTGGAACACAAAATGAAACAGATCAGGGCATTCAAATCAAAGGTTACTTTTAGCCCAACCAAACAGCTCCCTGAGACAGCTGGCCTCGAGGTGACACAGTTTTGGAGAGGGCAGGGATGATTTAAGGTAGGATTGGTACTTAGTAAGTGCAAGGGATCCCAAATCAGAACAATGATACTTTCCCAGTTTTTCTTCACACTCCTGAAGAACTCAGGGAACTGAACCAGCTACTGACACAGTTGGGAAGTCTCAGCACAAAGGAGCAATACTCAGTTTGGAAAAAGACACCCCATTCTCTCCAGATCTGATTGGGGGAGGAGCCTGACCATTTCCTGACAGCTTAGGAATACATTTCACCTCTTGGAAAAGAGGGAATTTGCATGCCTTGGAACAAGATGTCCTATGAACTGAGTGGTGTCACAGGGCAGTATTTTGCCCCAAGCAGCACCTGCCCAGCAGCACACTAAGGGATCCAAGGATCTGTGTCTGTGTCCCTGCCTGGTACATGCAGACATCACCCAGCTGCCAGCCAGTCTCTCCACTCAGCTGGGGAGGTCACTGGGAAGGTATTTAGCTATGCCACAGCACCAAAAAAAAGTTTTTCTATGAACCATCCTCCACAGGAACCAATGCTCACATTAAGTACAGAGACACCAAAGGAATCCAGTGCTTAGAAGTGAAGTGAGAATTAAGCTGGCAGGCCTCATTTGTTACCAGTTTCTAAGAAACAGCTGGCTAAGAGTATCAGAGAATCAAATGGTTTGGGTTGGAAGAGACTTTAAAGATCATCCTGTTCCACCCCCTGACACAGGCAGGGACACTTTCCTCTAAAATCAGCCTGCTCCAAGCCCCATCCAACTTGGCCTGAACACTTCTAGAGATGGGGCAAACCACAGCTTCCCTGGGCAATCTGTGCCTGTGCCTCACAGGAATGACCCTACAGTGTCCCTCTATGAATGGCTGTTAGCTCTGGAGAAGATCAGGAACACAACAGGTGCTGGTGGAGAAATAAGAATAATAAGAAGGAGAAGGGTGAGAAAAAGGAGAATAATAATAATAAGAAGAAGAATAAGAAGGAGAAGGATAAGAAGAAAGAGAATGATAATAAGAGGAGTAATAAGAATAATAATAAGAAGGAGAAGGATAAGAAGAAGGAGAATAATAATAATAGAAGAAGAAGACACAAGAGACGGAGGAAAAGGAGGTGAAGGTGGAGGAAAGAAAGAAGGAAAGAAGGAAGGAAAGAAGGAAAGAGAGAAGGGAAAGGGAAAGGGAAAGGGAAAGGGAAAGGGAAAGGGAAAGGGAAAGGGAAAGGAAAGGAAAGGAAAGGAACTACTGATGGTTTTGAGGATGGGACCATGAGGCAGTAACAGTTATGTAAGTCTAGCACAGGCATAAGGTGTAAGCAGGACAGAGGCGGACACAGCATTGTGAAAGAAAATCTCCCACAGCCTTTTTCTGCATAAAGCTGCAGAGAGCACGCTCTCACTTCCACTAACTGGGATATTTTCTGGTCTGGACATACAGAAACAAGTCCAATGAGACATGCAGCACTTCTTACCCAGCCTCCTCTCCTCTTCAGCCACGTCACCAGGGTCTTGCGCACGAACTCGCCCAGGCAGTCCACAATGGTGTGAACCATGGCTGGCTGCGCATGCCGCACACAGTCCACAGCCAGCCCTGCTGCCACGGCATACAGCGACACCACCTTGCCCCACGTGATGCCTGCGAGAAGGGAAAAGGACACTCACATTTGTAAGAGCCAAAATGAGGGATGTGGGACTCCAGGCAGCTCTTCAAAATGCAGTTTATTGCATACAAAATGCAGTTTATTGTATACAAAATGCAGTTTATTGTATCCAAGACATTACAGCAGCCCAGGGTCATGGGTGACAGAGCCTGTGCCTACAGCTGTCAGCTCCAGCTGCAGGCAGGCCTGGAGACCCACATCCCTCCTTCAGGCTCTTACTGATAGTGCCCCACGTTGGGCGCCACTGTAAGAGCCTAAATGAGAGATGTGGGACTCCAGGCGGCTCTACAAAATGCAGTTTATTGTATACAAAATGCAGTTTATTGCATACAAAATGCAGTTTATTATATCCAAGAGGTTACAGCAGTCCAGGGTGGTGGGTGACAGAGCTGTGCCCACAGCTGTCAGCTCCAGCTGCAGGCAGGCCTGGAGTCCCTTTAACTTTGGTTACATTGCATTCTATACTTTTCTTTGCCAAGCATCTTAATACAACAGAACCAATCTATACCTTAACTATTAGTCAGTCAGCTATCTAATCTCCCAGAAGACAGCCTTCCTGCCAGGCTGCCCTGCCTGCAGCAAGTGCTCCACAGAAGCTGTCCCAGCAGCTGGGACCTTCCTGTTGGTGTCAGTGATGAGTGTGGGACTTCAGCTCGAGGTACCAGCCAACCTCCTGGGGCTGCCCTGGGCATAAATCCTTCATGCTCAAACCCTGCAGTCATAAATCCTTCATGCTCAAACTCTGCAGTCATAAATCCCTCATGCTCAAACCCTGCAGTCAGCTGCCCCTCATCAGGCTTTCCTCAGGACCAGTGACCTGGAAACACAACCCTTTCGCTCCCCTGCACACAATTTACTTTATTATCTGTGATAGCCATATTTATCAAGCACACTGGGAAGTATTTCACAGTGTTGGGTCTCTATGGAATCTGTGCAAAGTCTCTCCCAAACATAGGCAGAAGCTTGGAGAAGTTCTAATGTTTAAAAACCACACAGAACTGTTTTCAAAGGATTGCAGCAAGGTGAGAGGATGGAAGATGTGTGCAGTGATTAGATGTATGGATCAGGAGGGGTTAAACACACCATTAGAAGAGTGGATGTGCTCAACAAGCAAAAATACAATTTAAATGGGGTAAAGGGTCTCCCTCTTTCCTTCACTGCACTCTCAGATCCCGAACCAGCTCTGAGATGGAGCTCCAGCCTCCTCACAGCAGCTCTCATTGCAGCAGAATGCCCTATATTTCTTTAGAAAACCTGCAGATTTCAGAGCATTTCCACAATTCTTGCACTTGGTGCTTCAAAAGGGACATTCACACTAACAATTTTAGGAATTGCTTGCTTTTCTTTTCCTTAAAAAAAAAAAACCAAACTAAACTTTAGAGGAACTCTTCAAATGTCAGCCACGGGAATACTTTGTAAAACTGAAGAAAATCCATTCAGCGTTACATTAGTCATGACAAATGGGATTTTTGTAAGATAAAAATCTGCAGTTGAACTTTTTGTGAGGCTCTCAAAACCTCTGTGACACTCTGTCCTTCCCCAGAACTATCCCTGAGATCAGGGGAAGTTTTTAATGTAGCTGAAGCAACTGTTCTTCTTTTGGCTTTACTTGCTGAGCAGACCCTGCGGTGTCCTGACACCAGCGCTGTCACTCAGGAAGTTCACTCTCTGCTTGGCATTCACACTATTTATCTGCCTTTCTCACATTGTGTGTCACCATGACAGCCAGCAGAATGAGCCAGGAAGAGGCTATGAAACCACACAAGAGTAGACAGAGGGGTTCTCCCTGCAAGGAAGAGGCTGTCCAAGTGCAGGTCAGTGCAGTTCTACCCAATGAAAGAGGCTTTCAGGGGTTACACTCCTTGCTGATGATATATTCAGGACCAGAGCCTCAGCTGGCTTATATTCAGCTTTAGTATAAGTCACATTTACAGTTCTCCATCCCTGCAAAAATGTGGTTCCCTGCATCTTGAGTTACATAACAAAAGTTACCCAAAATTCCAGGGAAGAGTTCACTGGCTTACTCCCAAGCTTTTGCTGACAGCACTCCTCAAATATCTGAAGCACGTCCATTAGCTCTGAGATATTTACGTGGCAGTAACAAAGACTGACAGGACTGAAGTCACTCTGGTGCAGAAAAACAACTCCAGTCTTGGTTAATGCTGTTTTGAGCCCAAAATAGAAGAAAAGTGTATCCATAACCTGTGAAAGACAGAAACCCAGCACACAGGAAAGCTGTTTGCTCTAAGGCACATCAGACCAGAGAGGATGGAAAGGAAACCATTCAGCTCCAGTTTCCCTGCTAAGATTCTTCCTGCTGCAGGATTTGCATGAGGGAAGTGCTTCCCTGGCACATGGAGAGACCCCTCTCCCTTTCACAGCAGAAAGAGATCAGGTTCTTGGTTAAAAATGGTGATGGATGTGGAGGGCTCAGGGGTCACATCCTCCTTCCAGAGCACACCCAAAGGGGTCAAACCAATCCTTCAGCCTGCCTTTCCTGTTAGAGCCAGTCCCTGGGGGCGGGAGAGGAGGAAATCCCTGCCTGATTTCCATTTGTTTGAATCCCCTTTGCCACTGCTGGAGGCAGAAGAGGGAGGCAGCAGGCTGGACTTCTCACTCACAACAGCAGGGCACAGCTTATGCTCCTCTTCTCATATTGTAGGAAGCAAGGGAAGAGCAGGCTCCTCCAACACCTGGGTCTGCCCAGGAGGGCTCCAGCACCCACCCAGCCCAGGCAGGAGAGGGCAGCAGACCAGCAGCCCTTCACTGCACTTTCCCAGGACACCAGCTCCATGAACTTTTCTCTCTCAAGAAAACATGGGTTTAAAGGTTTTCTGTGTTCAATGGGCTAAGTCTGTGCAATGGTAAATGATGTTATGGTGCATTTACTCCTCTTGGCAGGGGCAGAGGAGCACAGTTGCCTCTGTCAGTGCCTCTGTCCCCTGTGATGTCCAGGCCAGGTTCACAGTGACACCAGTGTGATACATCTCAGCAAAAGCTGGAATTGCATCTCCCCAGGGCACATGAGAAGTGAAAACACATTGGCTTGCTCCAAATTCCTCAGAAGGGCTGGCTGTCATCCACACTGGGTGAAACAGGCACTCATCACCAAGCAAGACAATCCATTCACAGCTTCCCACTGCGTGGATTAACATGCACAGGAGCTAACAACAACAGGGAATGGAAAGCTGGTCCAAAAAGGAACCAGAGAGAGAAAGCTCTGCTCACAGACATGGAACAAAAGGATGTGGAAAAAGTGAAGGGCTGCTTAGAAGGCATTATTAAAAAATAAGAAATACAAGTTGCACTCCCTAGGCCAGCCATGGAGCTGAAGATATGTAAACACTACTGAGCCCAGGGGAAAATGAATTAGCAGGAGAGGAATGCTCTTGAAAGTATTCCTGCTCATATGAGCTTGTCTGCCCCAGGGGAGAGATGAAGAAGCCATGAGACACCAGGGCACCACACAACCTGAGGTTATTCAAATAAACTCAGCATCAAAGTCCTGCTCACAAATCAGACCTTAAAGAAACACCAGCCACTGCTACACTCCTGCAGCTGGGAGAATGCAGCCAGACACAACAAGGTCTGGTGGAGAGAAAAGCTGAGAGGGATGTGCAAGAAGCAGGAAGCTCAAGCCATAAGGCCTAAATGATGAGGGAGAAGCAGGATGCATTTCCAACAGCATTTCAGAGAAATGGCCTGGGTTGGAAGGGAATTCAAAACTCACCTCATTCCAATCCCCTGTCATGCACTGTTACACCCCAGTCACTAAATTCCAGGGTTAAAACCAAGGTTCTTTTGCTCTGCATAGGAGAAAATCCCAAAGGAGAAAGGAGAAAAGGAGAAAATCCCAACCAGATATTCTCAAGAGGTAAAAAAACCCTCATGAAAGTTTGCTGGCAAACTACAGAAAATTAAGGACCATTGTCAAAAGAGCAAATGCAACATAACATCACTTACCACTGCATAGACTTAGCCCACAGAACATAGAAAACCTTTAAACCCATCCAATGTCATGCTCCATGAGAAGAGAGAAGAAGAAAGGGAGAAAAACAGAAAGACAGGAAAGATACAGAAAAACAGAATTAGAGCTACTAACTCCAGTTCCAGTAATGTAAAACTCCAAAATGAAGTAGGGTCTGTCACTGTGATATTTTCTGAAAAATCCCTTCGCCAGGATTTCTTCTCCTGGGAAGCTGAGAAGCCTCAGAGAGAAATGAAAACAATAATTTTCTGATTGCTTCTCCTGTGTTTGCTGCTTTGGAATGTGGTCTGGACATTGTTTACTAACAGGTGCATGTTTGATTGGTTTCATGTGAATTGTTTTAACTTAATGACCAATCATGTCCAGCTGTGTCAGACTCTGAGGAGTCAGTCACAAGCTTTCACTATCATTCTTGTTAAGCCTTCTGTCTGTATACTTTAATTTTTTTGGTATAGTTTTAGTATAACAATGTTATGTTATGTTATGTTATGTTATGTTATGTTATGTTATGTTATGTTATGTTATGTTACGTTATGTTAGCCTTCTGAGAACAAGGAGTCAGATTCTCATCTCTCACCTTTTCCTGAGGACCTCACAAACACCACAGGGTCAAAGAACAATGTTCTTTCCTCGTGGTCAGGCTTCTTAAAGCTTTGGCCCATCCTGACCCTTCCTCCCAGGTGGGATTTGCAGTTTCTTGGCCACACTGGGTGCTGCCTTCATTGTGCCATGGCTGACAGACACTGCAGGGCTGGGGGTGCAGGGCCAGGGCACCATCCCACCACAGCAAGGGCTGACCCACCCCTATCACACATATCAAGCATCCTAAGATGTCTCAAAACTGATTCCATTTTCCAGTCTCTGACAGTCAGGGACACCTTCCCTATCCCAGGCTGCTCCAAGCCCCATGCAGCTTGGCTTTGAACATTTCCAGGGATCCAGGGGCAGCCACAGCTTCTCTGGGCACCCTGTGCCAAGGCCTCACCT